TTCTTTTCATCAGATCTCGCGAAACTTTAAAATACTAGTGTAGTGAAATACTGCTGCTCCCGGGAAAAGCAGGGTTCGTATTGTGATATCATGCCACGTAAAAAGGTAAGCAAGTCATTCCCTGATGCCTGCTGAGAAATAGAATTCGCTGGAGCATGCTAGAACTCACGACCACGAACTTATATTCAAAGTTCACAATTGCAGATCGGGCTACATAGCCTCCTACCTGAGTTCTGCTCATACTCCTTCGTTTAGCAAAAGACCAATATGGCTTCCTTTTCGTTTGAGGAGCAATCCACAGAAGGCATCGCACGCAGATTGATGTTATCGCATGCACCCTCCGTGTAATATGCAGCTTGTTTTATCTATGCTTCCGGAGTCATCCTTGCTATAGCACTTGCAAGATTTTGTCCACAGGATCAGCATAGAGTATGCGTACAAAATTTATTTGGACTCTACACGGAACGTGAAAGGGATAATGAAAGCCTGTAGAGTGTGTCCATTTTTCTGGCAATTCCTCTGGCAATCAAAAAATATACAAAATGGTCGAACCAGGCTTGCCTTTGTTATAGAGATCTTTGTTGTGATCTCTGTAAATATGTCGTCCATTGGGAGGATGAAATAACTGGGAACCTTTTCCTTTGGCTTCGTTCTAAATTACATTGAACTACACTCTCTCTACTACAATTTCACAGGCTCTTCGACATTTATGTCTTCATAAAACATGCGTGCAATGTGAGTGCTAAGCGTTGAATTTATTAGGATTTTGAACTTCTTGGTTACACCCTTCTTAATTTTACTTGCGCAATCGAAAACTGAAAGTGTAGCAAAATCACAAGTTCATTGTGCATGATAATCCTGCGAGACACGAGGAAGAATGGGGTGGTGAATGCATGGCAAAGCGGAGTAGAAAACAGTTTACAAGTGATATTTCTTGTATATGGAGCATTCTAGAGTATGTGCCCTAATCATGCCACTCGAATCACTGCTCTGGCGGCACGAAAGGTGTCAAAAGAACTAGAAACGACAAGAGAGAATAACACGCTCGACTGTGTATCTTCAGAAGCTGTTTTAGGGCCCTTGTATAAACAGGGCAAACACTGGAACAAGAGAGCATTCAAAACGTCGCAATTGCCCCTCTCAGAAATTTTAAAGCTGCAGGAAAGAAGGTGCAGTGATGTATTTTATGCCCAGATTCTCCGCTCAGGTTAAAAAAGACAAATGGTGGCGCACCACAAATGATACCATGACGGTGGCGGCGGTGCGGTCTCTCTCGGGATTTCAGCGGCAGCGCGAATGGCGTGAGCAAAATCGGGTGGCGACGTGGCGTGGCGGCGCAAAGCTCTAATATCAAGGTTAGGTGCGACGTGTGCCTTCAGTCTAGCCCTGCCTTGTCCTTTTGGTTTCCGGGCCTCTGTCAAGCTGCAGACCACAGCTTTTAGCCCTGAAATTTATTCCGAATATATTTGGAAAAATACAGAAATTTGAATTTGCATTTCAGCTATCGGCCGTGTGACAAGAGCATCTCAGGAACATAGAAGGACCATTATCCTGACATGGTAAAAAAATTGCCGGAGTTGGCCTTTAAGTGTCCTTTCCTGCGATATGTAATTGAGGGTGCAAGTCATATGGAGGGGCATGTTATGCTAAAAAAAATATGGTAATTTATTTGCAATAATTAAATAAGAGATATTTGGATGGACCTGAATATGTTGCCATATCTTGCTTTAGAGGCACCCTTGATAAGTTTAGCAAGTTTGTATTGGTCTATTGAAATCATATTAAAAGAAATCTTTTGGATTTTTTATTGCTATAAATTATTTGGAGACTAGGTAAATATTTCGTTTAAAAGTCGTTAAATACCAGCTTTTCTGCAAAGCATTGACGTCAAGAATGCAGTGCAAGTGCTACTGGGGACTAATATTGTAGCTTGTTATCATTGGTGTTGATACAGCTGTGACCGCTCGGGCGAATAATAAATTTACGTTCAAAGCGAATTCGAATCAAATAGTTATTTGGTCAAACAATTTCGAATCAAACTTGAATAGTACATATCACGTTTTAAAGTGAGCATATTTGTGAGTATGATTGAAACACAGCTTTTGGAAATGTCATATTTCTTTGCTCAGAGGAAATAAAAGCAACTTATATATATATATATATATATATATATATATATATATATATATATATATATATATATATATACACACTGCTAGGTATACTGCTAGTGATAACCTGTAAAATATATAATGTTTTAAACTTTGCTATTCTCAGAGGATATAAGTTGGAATAGTAAGCTTATAAACTTAAAAGGCAATCAACTGATGCCAGAGTAATATCAAGCCAGTGGCATGTTGCGAGCTTCACGACCGCACCATCAGATGTCGCCCCTGTCAAAACGATGACAGTGCACCGCCGCCGCTGGCAAGCAAAACGCCATTGAAGCCTTTGTTTCGACGATTTTATTTGTAAGACTTGAGAATGGTCTGCATAAAAAACTGCTTTTCATTTAATTTAAGCATTTATAAACATGAATAATGCTAACACCTAGATGATTGGAAAGTGACCCACTTTAACTGGCAGCGCGAACCCGAAAAGAAACAGTTGCGCTAGACTGCTTGTGAAAGGCATGCGGATACGTTGATATCAAATACAGAAAGTTTGCCGAATACTGTCAACAAGGTGTTACAACATCTTCAGCTACAGAAGTGGAGGAAAGTTAGCTCTATATCAGTACTTATTACAGCGAATGTTCTGTGGAGTGCGGTGAATATATTAATCATTGGTGCACGGCGCTTCGGGCATCTGCATTGCAGCTATGCGTAGTACGTACCTTGTTTGCACATGAACACTAATGCATGCATATTGTTCACTGCTGTACGTGCTAAAACGGTTCATACGTGGCCTGTATCTTATGTAAAGATCGATTCATTCGCAATAAAACAATTTATTGCTGCAAGTTTGTGTGATCAGCATTGTTGTTTCGCTCGGCCGTTACGCGGCATCATTCACTTACTAAAATAAATATGCTTACCAGCTTCTAGGAAGTAGTGTACTACATTGTACTACTTTATGGAAATGAGAGAAATTGGGGCTGCGGCAATGAGCGGAGGGGTCACCCATGACACAGAAGCAGACGACGACAGTGTCATCTGCAATGAGGATGGCTAGGTGCCATATCCAAACGCCCTGGTGCTTTTGAAACTTATTTCATTTTATACTCAGCTATAAATTATATAAATAATATCTTTAGTAATTATTTGTTCAAAAAAACTATTTCAGTGCAGAAGATAATTAGGGCTTTTTCAGTTATAAGTAAAATAAGTAAAATAGTCACTTTACAATCTTTTTACAACTGCTGCAGGATTCCGGACGATGTTATTATAATTTTCGTCCCCATTGGCCCTTTAGGCATGTCTTTCCCTTTGTAAAATGTTCATTAACCTTGATGGGAAGATTTGCAGTGGTGCAGATTTTTCCTGTGTAAGTGTTTTCATGGTATAGCATACCTGCCATATCTCTCGTATTGTCCAGGAGACTCCTGAATTTTGATCATTTCTTCCATTTGTATGGTCGTCATGAAACTCTCCCAGAAATAGAAATTGTTGTGCATGATCTGGCCGCATTCACAGAAATGTAATTCAGTCTGCTTCAGGCTTTTTGCGAATCCATCCCATTTTATTATAAACGAATTTAGGGGGCGTTCATATAAACGTACAGTAGTGTCAGTGATGCAAAACCGCGGCTGATATGAATTCGCGAAATCCCCCAGCCAAATTTCACTGTGTTCATTAGGCCAAAATTTGAATGTTCTGAACACTTTTCTTAATCGCAACGTGTGATATGAACTTTAGTATTGACACCGTCAAACGAAGGCCAATCAAGAGCAGCGTGCTTGAAGTTTCAGAAGTACCAATGCGACCGGTGCACTCACTGTCTGCCACAGTGCGTGTGGTTTCCACAACCGCTGGGGACGAAACCACGGTCGTTCTTGACACGATCATTTGACTGTACTCGAAAAGTGTGGGGGCATTCAACGCTCGACTAGTCAAAGCAACGCTGCTTTCCGCAAACTCTGTTGACCAAACCGGGCATATGCGATCATAGCACAAAACAACTTAGTTTCGAATGCACGTGTGCGGCCAACAGACGCGGAATTAAAACGGAACTGGTAGAGTTTGATGCAACCGTCGGGAACAAAACCGCGTTCGCGGGGACGCAATAGCGATCTATGAGCCTTGAAGGCATGTAGCTAACGCAGCGGTAGATTACAGGCAGTAAAGACTTAAAAAGAAAGGTTAAAAGTGTTTTGGCGTTCATGTCCAAAGAATCTAATAGCGAGCAAAGCCAAAGCTTTGACTTGTGCTTTTGCGGCAGCCGACTGCGCCGTCCCGTTCGTTCACGTGCGTCCCAGTAAGACATACGCTAGTTTTGACAGAAATAAATTTTGCTTGTTTTGATGATGCGAAATTTCGGGAGCATTTGCGCTCCCCCTTGACTCTCATCTTAGAGGGAAACTTAGTTTGGTGTTCAATCGCACCAAGTTATTATAGAACCGCAACACCGATGTTGGCGTTTTCGATTAGACCCCCCCCCCCCCCCCCCCCACGCTCTTTGTCTCTTGTTTTTGTGCGATTTTTTTTTGTGCCTCCAAAAATTGAAAAAATAATTCAGCGTGCTGACCACCCTTCCTTCCTGTATGGTATAGCAGCTTTTCACTGCAGCGAAACCACCTTTACAGTTGGTTACATGTCAATATACACGTATTTGTTCATTTTGAATACCTTGAAATCCTCTATAATTTAAATTCAAATATAAGTGAATTGGAATTCCGTAATATACGTATGAACATATGAACTGCTGGAATATTCCCACATGCCTAGAACTGCGGGATTAACAATACCTCGTTGCTTTGTGTAAACATAGTTGTGAAGCACCCACGGCTGACGTATCATGAGCTGATGCTGCTGTTGGGCCTAAAATTGGATTACACGCAGGCTCAGGTGGCTGCATGGCCAACGCGCTTGGAGTTGGTGGAGGCAGACCTGCTGCGAATGCACAACCGAGAGGGGCAGTTGCTGGCTGGTATCACGCCACGCCCCTGGACGCATGGTATGCATAACACCAATGCTTTCAATAGTTTTGACAACACAGGCATGTTTTGGCCATCTCTATACAATTGTAATGCTTTTCTTATCAGCTTAAAACAAAATTTCACATATGCACACTGTGCACTTGAAGCAGCCATCACAAGAAACAACAAGTGCATGAAACTGATTTCACGGGTGTCAAAAATGAACGCTCAAGAAAGCGCACGCCTTGGATTTTGTTGGCTACTTGAAAACCAGGCACCAGGCAGACACGACAAAAGCAGGCCCCACGAAGAAACAAACATCAAAAGATGCTGCCGACCAAGTCACAAACGGAAACATCTCGAAGGAAAGCGGCGTGGTGCTGCAGTCGCGTCACGTTATGAGAAAGGTCTCGCCCTTCTTCAGCTTTGACTCTGCGGCACACCGACAAAATTTCGAGAACCCAGAGCAAGCGTATATAAGCAGCCGGCGGAGAAAGACAAAAGAGGAGTTCGGTTTTCTGCCGGTGGGCAAAGACGTGTTCGGTAGTAGCAGCGCATCACTCAGCATCAGTGGGCATCAGTGGCAAACATATTACCAGCGATGAAGTTTTGTTATTGAAGTGCAGTCAGTTGACGACACATGAGTTTCCTAAAAGAGAAACTCCAAATGTAGCGGGACGCCAACGGGCGCTGGACTTCGAGTGAGTGTTTTCTTGAAGAAAATCGTTTAATCTTTGTTTCAAGAACTTCGGACAGAATACATTTGATGAAAATTTTAGTCTATAAGTGTTCTGGTTAGTTAATGCATGAAATTGCACTGTAGTGCGTGTTGTTGTTTATGCCCGTTGTTTTGAATGTGTAGGAGCACCTTGTGAGTGGTCTCGTATTGTATTGGATAACTGCTGAGGGTACACATTTGTGTATTGTTTGTTCTGCCTTATTTGGCTATATATTTTTGTTTTATTAGCTCTCGGCTCTGCCTCATTCTTTGGATCATAGCCGACGTTCGCTGGCGCACCAAAAGAACCAACACTAAATTGTCCGCGCTTTCATGGTGCATTTCGGGGGCTCGATATGTCGGCCTTTAGAATTAGCCCGGCGATTGCCTCCCTAATTAACAGGACTCGTGACCACGGGTAAAAAATTGGAGGACCCTTAAGCTTTGCCTTTAAGAGTTGAATGCGACAGTAATATGCTGTCCCTGGAGCGAAGAGCATATACTTCATGCATATTTTTATTGTGTAATGTTTATAATGTTACTCGAGAAGTTTAAGTTTTGGATTACTACTATGCAATTGATAAAGCCAAAGATGGCTTGTGTCATTGAAGCTTTCGCATATGGCTGCATTCTGCATAAAGAGTAGCATGCTTTAAACCAGGAGCCATTATTCATGTGAAATCTTTTTGAACTTGTTATACACCCAGTACGTAGTCTTAAGGAAGTAAGCACAGTTGTGCACGTCCACCGTGACAGCAGTGAGTGGACGCGCTTGGTTCTTACCACTGTCTGTCTCGATGCCATAGACAGCACAAAGGTTGCCTCGCTCTAGCAGCGACCATATTTCCATGTGCCAGAATTTCGTTGAGTTGCTCCTAGTCGGTTGCTACCAGAGTTAGCTACTTCCTGTACCTACTTCGTGTAGGTATTGTGTTCACCACTTTGCGTTCTTTTTTTTTTTCAGAGCTAATGTACATGCTTAGGTAGGCTTACGAAGGAGGTCCTACAATGCTTAGCTGAAAGGGGATTTCCCATGAGAAAGTAGTTAGATGGTAAGTTGGGCCAGTTGATTAGGATCCATCGTGAACTTACTTACAGCGCAACACCAGAAAAAATACAGGACAGGGAAGGAGCAAAAGAGAAAGAAAGTAGTTGTTGGACAAATGCACTCGTGTATGCCACCAGACCAGGCAATGTTGTTTGTAATGTTTGAAAGCAGAAATGAGCATAAAGATGACAATCAGTATATGTGCACGCACGAACAACTGAATGAAGAAAAAGAGAAATCTGTTCTCATTTTTATCGCACACGGCTGTCTCTTCTCATTTGTTGGACATGGCCAGATATGACGCAGGTTACTAATTCAGGAGTGACAGCTTGCCTATCGAGATCAGGTCATGTTTCAGATGCATCAGCATATGAGTAATTGTTTCCTAAAAAAAAAATAAACAAAGCTCTAACAAAGCCAGCGTTACTAGTATACAACACTGCACGCAGTTGAAATTATGATATCCTCCAGTAATTTGGCACCTCGTGGCTGCAGTAAAACCTCGTTAAGATCTTTATTACACCCTCCCTCAGGCCGAGTAGATGATCTGTGTGTCGGAAGGTATAGACAGAGTAGCAGCGGTTCAATTTTAAAATACTGCCGGTGTGTCGAGTGAACAGTGTTTAGAGCTCCTTTACTTTTATCTTAACTGGACCTATGTGACGTAGAATGGGAACACTGTGAGACAAAAGAACAGGCTATGTATAGGTTTCTGCATAGCCCCATACTTGAGTGCCCTGTTTTTAGCAAAACGTAATAAGATGCTTGATGTGATTGCGGTTTTTAGATTTGTAAACGACTATCTGATCGCTGCCAATAATGATCATAACAATTTTGACGGGGTTGTTACAGAAACTCTAACCATGTTCTTGACAGTGTTATCTCCTCTGGTGTTGACGCATGAAGCACCAAATGACAATTTTATAAGATTCCTGGACCTTGGGCTGTATTTTTCACCAGCAGGAGTATGCTGGAGATATGAACTGGAGGAAATAAACCGGTTCTTCCATTCACGTCCGCTCACTGAAAATTGGTAAAGCGTGCGGGGATAAATTCCTGTTTTCAAAATTCACTGATGAAGTCGTGCCACCACAAGCATTGATGCAAGCTTGTGGGCTCAAGCTAAACTTTTGTTGAACTCTAGTTATTTCTTGTGCCTGTTAACCACTGTGGCTGAAAATATAAAGAGGAAAAGAAGGGCAAACGTCAGAGACCAGGCAGCCGGCGCTAAGGCAGCCAAGGTTGCTGTAGTGTCCTACATGCATGCCATTTCGCATAACTTGCGAAGGATAGCGAGAAAGGCTGGTGCGGATGTAGTGTTTTCTCCTCCTGAACAATTACAAGGAATGTGCAAAAAGGTTAATGCAGACAGTAGCGAGAAACGGGATTGTAAAATCAAGCACCGGAAAAAATTCGTTAATTGTTGTCGGGGTGTTGTCTATTGCACTCCTTTGACTTGTGATTGCGTGTAAATTCGCCAATCTGGAAGGTATGTGAACTGAAAACTTAGGACAACGTAGAAAAAGCTGTATCTGGTTCTTTGGCCCTTTACTGTCAGAGGTATGGTTGCGTTCCTGTGTTTCAAAACACTCATATTCTCTATAGGGCCTGTGACAGAACTACTTGAGAAATATTTGAAGCCTATGAAATTCACAATATGAAAGAAAAAAGTGTGATGGTGGCTTCCATAGCTTTATCAGCTAAAGAAAAGAAGTATCTAGGATATTCACTTTGAAGTTGGCAAGTGCAATATGTCACAATCGGTGATGACGCGTGCATGAGCTGTGCTGCATGATCTTTCCCAAGTTTTATCGCTCTACTGTTATTGTATAAATAGCATGTGTGATCGCAAATAAAGCATTAGTTGCAAGTTACCGCTGTGTGTGTGTGTGTCTCTCTCTTTTTGTGTCCTTGTCGTAGTGCGCTATACCCATATAAATGATGAACCCCAACCAACTAGTCCAGCAACGTGCCTTAGCAAATTTGTTTTAATAACGTTGATTGTCATCGAGTTTGCTGCGCTCCAAGATGATAATTTTTATAGTACTATGTTAGCTTTAATCATGACATCCTCAGCACCTTTTGTAACTACAAGAATTGTGTTGTCGTCCGCATATATAATAAATTTTACACCATGATCAATGCTCACTAACTCATTAATATAAATACAAAAAAGCAACAAACCCAAGATGCTTCCCTGTGGTACTCCTGCAACAAGTGGTTTCACATTGGAATGTAATTATTAATAACCTCTTTTTGCATGCGGTGCTGAAGGTAAATTACGAAACCGTACGAGAAGGAAGGAATCAAATTTTCTGCGCATGACTCGTGATTGAAGTGCCTGAGGACTCTTCACGTGTTTTTTGGTGGTTGTTGATCTTTTGCTGACTTTAGGCTGTTCATTTGTTTGTCGTGCGCGAAAGGTATGTTGGCTGGCTTGGTGGCAGTGCCAGTGTGCATGCTCCTTCCTTAAGACAAGCAGTGATCGTATCACTGTTTGTCCTTAGAGGGGTTATGGTCACCCCGATTTCACTGTCATCAAATAATGCACGTTCAGTGTAGAAGTATTTTGCACTGCATAGTTGATGTTGTTACTGTGGTGTCTCCAGCGAGGCACTCTGGAGGGCAAATTGGTTCATTGCTGTTTTTAAGCTTCACAAAAGGACCGCGGCACGAGTAAGAACTGTTCGATAGTGTTTTCTAACTCGGGTCGTGGTCCTTTCGCGCACTCTCAGAATGCCAGTTGTCTCATCGTTGAGAGAGCAGGGCCCTTGCAGCTCCCGAGGCCGTGCTGGTGGCGAGCCTCTCCCGAGTGCGCGAGGTGGGCTTCCTGCGCTACGTGCTGCACCAGCTACCCATGGGGACCTCCCTGTTTGCCTTGGGTCGGCTGGCCTTCCTGCTGTTTCTCAGCCACATCGAGGCTGCGGTGAGTGGGCCATCACTCGTAGCAGCTTCTGCAAAGACCTTCAACAGTGCCAGCTGTTTCTGAGCCATTGGGGGGCAGTGTCGCTTGCTTTTGGTGTCCGTCATTGCTGTCACGTAAAAAACAAAGGAAGCAGACTTCATGCATTGAAGGGACACTAAAGTCAAACAATAATTTACGTCAGAGTGAAAGCTCAGCGGATGGCAACATTTAAAACGACAATATTATCAATAACAGTGCCCCACTTACCGAGAAGTTATGGTAAATGCACGAGAACACAAGCGCCGCAGTAGGACATTTTCAAAATGATCCCGATGACATCAAACGGACCGCCTACAATAGCAGGATGCATTTGAAATAAAAGCATCTGCAATCTCGAAGGCAGTGGCGGGAAATTGATCTATGGCCATTGTTGCTGCTGTGACTTCCACTGCTTTCGGTCTGCTGCTACTAGCGCAGTAAACCCAGGCAACGTTGTGCACGGCAACAGTGACGTGAGTCGGTCTGGTCAGTTCGCTTCTTGAGGTGGGCAATTTGAAGTGCGCTAACTCAATGCAGAGCACTAAAATGTGATTTTATTTCAAAATATGCCCTTCCTTGGCATAAAAGTAACACTGCGAGGTTTCTAGACCATCAATTCAACAATCAACGTCGACTTAATGGTTGACTTTAGTGTCCCTTTAAGCAAACACAGGTATTCTGCATCGTTGATGACTATCCTCTCACAGAGCCATTCCAATGCTTAAAAGTTCCTTGAAAAAACAGGCGTTCTGTTGTGCAAGGAGTCGCATCAACAGATGAATATTGCTTGTAGAATCGCAGAGGGTGTCACACTCTGTGCATAGATTAATGAGCGGGTGAGTAAGCCTGGCCGCTCAGTATAAATGGCTCAGCACAATTCATAATCATCATCACTGTCTGCCACAGCATCGGCAAATTTTCCAGCTACAAGTTCTGCTGCTTGGCTTGTAGTGCCGGCTGTCTTCACTATTGTGTAATACATGCAGATTCTTGCAATTTTTTTAGCAACAAGCCCATCGTTGCTAAACACAATAACAAGAATGGAACCCACTCCAATCATCAGACTGTTTAGATCTGGCCTCCATTCTTGTTAGCAAGGTGTAGAAGTCAAGACAAACGATTATTTAATGTTTCTTGTTTTCACGTATCCGTGGCTCTCAAATAGATAAGCCAAGATAAGCCTTTACCACTGGCCACTCATATGAGCAGGAGTGGCTGAGATGCGCAAGCTGTGACCACCAGGGTGGTGCTGAATGTACCGTGAAAATTGTACATCTGTTCTTCACATGTGGCCCTCACTGCATTGCTGTCTTTAACTGCCAAAAAGAATCAGTTTGTGCAGCGCTAAACATTTAGAACACACTTGGAAATGCACATTTAAACTGTAACGCAAAGGCTAAGCCCAATTTTACATTAATGCAGGATTCAAGTGAAGTAGTGGGGCTGCTGAGCCTTGAATGCACTTGTACACTAGTGTTCAAAAGTTCAGGAGCATTTATTTATTTTAATTAAATAGGTGTATTACTCTGTGTTGTATAATGGTTCATCATCAATAAACTCATGACACACAGGATCGTAACGGCCACTGGATGTTCATTTTGCATGGGTTAGGGAGCTGAAGATATGTCATTGTTGGAAAGTCTCTCACCTCCGTGTGGCCTCCGAGGTCTCCCGTGCTGGCCATTCTCTCTCCCTCTCGTTATTGTCAGCGTGCAAAGGGGCAGTACAGGCACTGAAAAAACACAAAATAAAACAGAATGCTTCTTTGCCCTCGAGGTGGCAAAGATTACTCAAGTCCGTTTTCTGCTTTCTGTGGGGTCTTGAGTGTTTCATGAGTACTTCCACGTGGAATGCATCTTTGACTCTCAGGCGATGTGGCGAAACTCCCCCTGCACCACTCTATTGCAGTCAAGCAAGGTAACCAACACGAATTTTATTTTTTTCGTGCTCGTCGTGCGTGCCTGCTCCTCAGGAGCGCTGCGTGGAACACCCCCCTGTCCGGCCATGGCTTATACAGACTTTCTTCAGGCGAAATGGGGAGAGGGGGGCTGTGGCATTCATAGCTTTGGCGTTTCAATGTAGCGCCATACTCAAAAAGCCATAACCGGTCTGCATTGTGTTGAAATTTCGGATCGTCACAAGTACAATGAGGAAGTTCAGTTCAGCATTCTGCATCAATTTAGCACAGTAGTTTTTGGTAACCTTAATTGTTCTGATATCACCCGTGCACTCATTTGATGGTTGCAGGTCAAAGGATTCATGTCCCCTTTTTGCCGTTCAAGGTCATCTTGACTGTTGTCCCTCCCAAAGCAACTTGTGTCATTCACAAACATTTGATCAACCAATTGCATCTTTCTCATGAGCAGTCTAGACCATCTCGTGGGTCAGACTCGGAGTTCTACTCAGTTTGAAGCAGAACGCTGCTTTAACCAGCAATATATGTGGAGATAATGAGACACCTTAAAAGGAGATAATGAGGCACCTGAAATGATGAGGCACTTAAAACTTGGCCTATGCGTAACCAAGGGCTTCGAGAACACCTGTGCACTGCTAGCAGGTGCCCTACCACCCAACCAGTGCTTTGACATCTCCTTCCTTTACTATGTTTTGGCAGCAGATAAATCAGTCCTACTAGTATTTCTTGGACAATCCCTGTAACATGGTGTGGCACATGTTTAAATACTACGCTATTCCAACACCATATGTGTGCTTACACACATGTGACACACTATAAAATGTAATTGTTGATGGTAATAATGTCTGTGAATTTCGGTACAGCTGTTTGTCAGTAGTTTCTAAGCATGCACCTGCCATGCAACCTGCATTGCTCAACAACTGAAGCAGTACAGCACAGCATAAATGCCACATGCACACCTATGCAACTGACTCCTTGTGCAATAGAATGCTTGTTAAAGGGATACTGAGGAACTATCTCGCCGCTGAAGTTTTCAGCCAAACTGAATGGTAGGGTGATGAATTTGATAAGTGCAACCTTCATTTGCGAGGGAGACTAGCTGAAAACCAACAATTTCATTGACTTTTCGTGAACTGCCATGTGTAGTAATCACAACGTGAACCAAAAGAGATTTAGTGTAATGTTGCCGCAAAAGGAATGCACCAACAGTGCTGGCTGAGGAGCACCCCCTAATCGCTTGGCTCCCCCTGCAGTGCCTAGAACCGCTGCCCTGTAGCACCGACAGTGCTCCCGTGTGGGCTGGAGCTCCTGAAAAGTGGGGCATGTCTTTGGAGAAGAGTGGAGAAGCAGCCGTAAAGGAAAATGTGCGCCCTGCATTCGTCGTAGTGACTTTGTGCACAATGACAATCCTTCAAAGATAGTCAACTGCTCCAAAATGTGAGGGGGGCGAGGATATGATGCCATACCAAGTGTTCAGGAACCTGGGTAGCCTTCTGTCTTTCCAGTTGTCTCTTTTTTCTTTCTAGTACTTTCTTTCTCTCTTGCTTGCTTCTTTTTTGAATTTTTATACGTGGTTTGGTGTTTCCCTAATTATAGTACATACCTGCCATGTCTCCCGGATTACACGGGAGACTCCCAGGTTTTGAACGTTTCTTCCGGTTGTACGAGCTGCAGGAAAATCTTTCGGAAATCTAGTTTTGTCCCACGCGTCCAGTGCTTTGTCTGGCCACTTGAGCAAGGTGGTCTGGCCACATAGTAAAAACAATTTTTCTTTTCTTTTTAACGATGGTAACAAGGTTCAACTCGCTTCATTGTACGTTTTCGAGATGCGAAAATAGCATAAGAACATGTGGCCTGACAAGTAAAAGCAGCAAAATCGCGCATGGCTGTGCAGTTTTTGAAGGTCACACACATTAGGGAAAAAAAGAAAGAAAAACTTTTGTTGTAGTAGAGGGAGGGCAGTGACCCCGTGGTACAGGTGATACTTTTGCTGGCTGTTGAATGTTCCAGCATTCCAGGAAGTCATGGTGGCATATTTTGAATTGCTGGTACCGCAGCACATTCGAGAGAGAAAAAACAAAGGAGAGTAAGGAGGGAGCCAACACCTCTGACAGGAGTGCTTGCTTGACATGACATGGCTGGGCGAGCGCGCGTTCGCAAACGCGTGCACGGAGAAATGCGCGCTCCTCTTTGTGGCTGTTTTATCGTACAGACGCACCCACGCCCTTAGGCAGGTGAATGGTGTGGGTGCGGCTGTTAACCTTTGGGGTGGGGGAAATCGCATCGTGGAGCGCATAGTCAGTCCTTTACATTGACATAACAGGGAGTGGCGCGGCGACTCGGGCGAACAGGGCAGGGGGGCGACGACAGACCTTTGCTCTCCCCCACCTGTACCCAAAAAGGGAACTGCCCATGCCTGTGCCCACTCCTCACCACACGCTTTCTGAACCTTATCCTTTAGGCGTCCCCTTTCCCCTCTCCCTCCAGGAGCTAAGCTGAGCCGTGCTTTTGTAAGGGTTCATCAAACCTAATGGCAGGGTTTTTTTAAGCCGCTCGCTACGATTATTTAGCTGGTCTAAACTTTTTACTTTTTTCTCTTTTTATAATCCGACCGTTTTCTCCTCTCACTGTGTCTCTTATCGCCATACCTTTAATCGAACGCTGCTCCCCTATATCTTTACCGTCTTCCTGCAACATTCTATTTTTTTTTTCAGTTTTTTTTTCACTGAACCCCAAGGGCTGCCAAAAAGAGTGTCCGTTTTCCTTTATTATGCATCTGGGCTACGAGCTGAGAAGGCCGAGCTGTGGAAAGGCGAGTGGTCGGCAGACATGTATTGTGGTCCCTTCCCCGACGAAATAACTCGTAAGCAAGCGAGGACAGGCCTTGCACGCGAAGCGATGTTATCGCATGTGCTCTTCACGCAACCATGACTGCCAGGTTGTTGCACGTAAAACAGACGATGCATAAGCGATGGTATCAGTTTGGACTCTGTACAGATCAGCGACGACCGCAAAATTCCACCGACAGTGTTCATATAATTGCTATTGCAATATCCCCCCCCCCTCAGTCAACATATTGTATACTCTCCCCCCCCCCCCCCCCTTATGGAGTAGATCTCCCGGATTGGTTTTTCCAAACTTTGCAGGTATGATAGTAGCACTTGACCTCTGTGCTTGCTCAATACACTGGAGCTGGCTATGGTATACGTAGTCCTGCCTGCGTTACGCCAAGTGACAATGACAGCATAAGGTGCACCACACTTAATCTTAGCTTTTTGCCAATCTGATTTTTGTTCGGTGTCCCTTTTTGAAGCAGGTTGCAAGCCCTTGTGTGGCTCAGTAGCCAACACTATGCCTGCATTCAACTCTGCTGCAAAAGTGGATTTACTTCTAAATCCCTTGTGCAGTATAGCTGTGATGGGCTCTCGGGGAATTTGCGGCAATGAATGGTATTTACCCCAAAGCCGGCTGTTCCAATAATGAGCCCATAAAGACGCCCCTGTGCAGCAAGAGTGTGGGAGCAGCGGGGACAGTTACAATGAAGAATAAAAAGAAACAAATACTCGTTCATTTAGGACCTGCATTCAGTTGTAAGGTTTCACTCTTATGATGATATCATGATGACATGAAAACAAACGCATGCTTGCTTATATATGCATTTGTGTGCAAACAACAAGCATGATCTGGTGTGCTGAACCTCCTTAAGTAGTACCTATATCCTCTGGGGGTCCTTTTGCATATGATTTGTGACTATTTTAACCCTAAAATTGGTTGCCAACAAGAAATGTCAACACATGTTTGATGGGGTGGCACATTTTATGAAGCCACACATTTTGCCTGTCGTCTCAACATTGACCAATAGTGCATGCATTCTGATGCAGCACATCACGGCATCCCGAGGCATTAACTTCAGGCACTATCGAGATGTCAGCATTCTCTATCAGCTCTTCTTTCATGTTGATGTGCTTGGCCAGGTGAGCTGCTTTGTGTTTCTTTCAACTTTGATGTCTCTCAAAAAAGTAGCGGTTTGGGTGAACGGGGTTTCACTTTCTCGTAAGGTGGGGCAGCGCTGACCAGAACACAGCTTCGTCCTACTTTGATCAAATTGGCCTTACATGCAATACGTGTGCCTTGTGCTGTGCGAAAAAATAGTGTTTATTCAAATTGTTGCTCGTGTGATTGCAAAGGTAGACCGTTAGCTGCACTACTCCATGCTGAATTAATGCGGCGATGTGGGCGAGTTGGTTTGCTGGTTTGCTATCATGTTCGGGTAAACTGCATGCTTCGAAAATGCTCGCTACAAAAAAGTCGGCCCCACCTCTTTCTTACATGCAGTGTTCAGATATAGCGAGAAACCATGCTCTCATGCGCAATACTATGCTTATTCTACCAGAATGTTCAAGCAGCTTTTTTGTTTGTAGAGTCAATTCTGTAACTAGTTTTTTTTTTTTTTTCTATCAAGGATATTTTTTTTTGCCTGTTCTTCACTCAGTCATGGATGGGCACTGTTACTGCCACTGATCAATAGTGCTGTCCTCAAATTCTGGGAATGTCATTTTTATAGTAGTGACATCTACTTTGTTGCCTTGCTCTATTGTATTGAGGTCATGCCTGTCTCCAGTGGAAGCATTTTTAGTGTTTTCGAATTGGCTGATAAGTGTGTATGCTCAATGTGTGTGATGGTATTAACTTGAGACGTAACTTAGACAATACTGGAACATACAAACTTGATGATCAGATAACCAACGACCATTGACTGTGCTCATCGTTATCGTTGCTGTAGGAGCAAGGTTTCTGTGTTAGATGCATCGACTTTGAGTGTTTTTTTTTTTTGCCGGGCACAACCGTACTTATTTCAATCTTTGTCAATTCGACTGCTTTGTTCTTTACTGTGACTACCGTAGAGTTTCACACAATACCTGGAGAGAAATCTGGTGCTGCGATAGTGTACCTCCATGGGAATTATGAGAACTACAAGCTTCAGATTAGATAGGGTTAGCTAGCGAGCTGTCTACAGACATTTTTCTACAGTTTCAGTTGCGTTTTTGCTGCGTGGGGAGTGGGCTGCAGTGAAAAGGGCTGAAGCAGTGCCTTTGTTCTTTGAAGAGGCAGAAGACTACTAGATCTGATTTGCTGCGACGTTGGAGCTTTACGAGTCGTATTTGACGACTCAAGCGAAGCGTCGTCCACTCACCGCTGCACATAGATGTAGCGTCTTATGCCAGTGCAGGATATTTCATCGAGTTCATGTTTTTTCGCGAGTGCATCGAGCCTAAGCTCACTTCAAATTGACTGTAAAACGATTGCAAAGCTATGTAGACGCACCACTACCCTCTGCTGACTTGACTTCACAACAAAACCAGAGGTGCGTTGGGGACAGACCACTTAGACAGATGCATTGCAGAAGACGAAACCATAAGTGTTTCTCGCTTAATACTGTATTGCTATTTTCATAAATAGATAATGCGCACTTTTGAGCGAAAAACAAGCATGTTTGTTTTCAAGTGTTGTAAAAAATAATTAATTAAATTTTGATGCCAAATCCGGAACACAATGGCAGAGCGATGCATACCCTGATGGTTAAATTTGCCCAGATATCACTTTTGCTGCTTCGTCACGAAAAATGTTTGCAATAAAGTTTGTATGCAAATAAGCGAAGCAAGTTTCAAATAAATATAGGTTCATATGACCTTGTTTTACACTAGCAAAAGAAGCATCACGAATATCAAGAACGTAATCCATCTGAAGCGGATCCGAAGCCTATACATCCCATAATTCCTATGGGGGTTGCTGCTGACAGAGCCCGCAGACACTAGCACCAGATTCTCCTATATGTATTATTGTATGAAACTTTATGGTGACAACCATGGGACATATGGCGGAAGTATTTATCCATTCGTACACACTCAAGCCTCATTATATGAAACACCAGTATAACAAAGTATTGGTTATAACGAATTAAGTAAAAAATAGTCTTGCAACAAATACAGTGTTATAAACATTTATAACAAATTTGCAGATATAATGAACTTGTAAGGTGCCACTTTGTTATAATGAGCTTTGAGTGTACTAACTTTTATCAAACTGTGAACAAGACTAGCAGCACAAAGATACCAACACCATTCAGGATTATTGAACAAGCCGCAGGACAAGAAGGGAAACCAGAGTAAGTACTCCTGCCAAATAAGGCAAGACCAACAATGACAAGGCCAGCAGACACCAATGACATCTGCTGTGTCATCCGCAACAGTTGTGCTCCAGCAGCCCAGAGAGAAGCCAACTTCTCATTGATTAATCTTAGAGGACCCAATTTGAAACAGTTATGACAGGATTATTGCCTACAACTGAAACCTCGACAAGCTACATCATGTCAACATTTCCTTGGGGGACTCTGCTAGGACATGGCATGACAATAGTCAATCCTCTGTGCCAGCTTCTCAAACAGCTTTGTAGCCGCCGGCTAGTCTTCAAGGAAATGGCCAAAGTTTTTCTTGAAGCCTGCATATATATGTAAGCAATAAAAGTGTTGCAATATTTACAGAACAGATGACCAATCTTTTCCTTCGCGCCAGCACAGAGATGTAGGGGGAAAAGAAAGTAATTTTTCTCTGGTGTGAAACCAATTTATTTATTTATTTATTAGAATATCCTCAGGGCCCGTAGGGCATTGAAGATCGTCTTAGATTTTATTGCTGGGGGCAGCGATTGAGAATATTCTGGAAATGCACAGCCGCACAAAAGAAGCACCGCTCACCTCTGGAATACTAACAAATACAAGGGCTCTGTTCTGACGACTAGCATGGATCCATAAGTGTCGCTGTGCATGAAGATGATTGCCATATGTTCCGATCATCTCAGCCTCATGTGGATTAGTGAGGAAATACAGCAGTCACTGGGTGTCCCTGGAGAGCAACACTCAATTGTAAGTCATGTGTGACCCTGTTGTCTGCCAGCTCTACGCTCCGGGAAAGACTGGCGTTTAGCATGCCCTTCTACCACCGCGAGAAAGCTGGCCATATGTATGCCCGGCTGCCAGTACCATGATGGGGCAATGTGGTCTCGTTGTTAACGTGCCATCTCTAAGGCTGCCATTGAATTGAGACTTCCGTTAGACTGTGGCCAGGATGCTATCCGTTGCCTCAGCACCAGTAAGCCTATATCCAGAAAACTAAGAGCAGCAATTGTGGAAGTGCAGTAGCTGTTCGTTGCTGTGCCTAATATTGTTGACAGCTGCCGATAAGTGAAAAATCGCATCGAAGTTTCAACATGCAATAATAGCTCTGAAGACAAAATTTTACAGTGAGCATTCAAGATCCAGGCAGTCGCATACAGTATGGTGAAGATGGGGGATCGTGCAAGTTGAGTATAAGTGTTGTATTTTTGATAGATCAAGTTGTTGAAGATGTTAGAGTAAAGGTGAGGTTACCAAGTCAATACAGTTTATTATGCAGTGGGCCTCCCTAATGCTTGTGCACTGAAAAAACAATGTGCTGAAAAAAGACACAAACTATGCATCTAACCGATGAAGGTTGTCAAATTCTGTTACAGTTGTCCATTGCTAAACCTATTCTCAGAGATTCACCGAAGGAAAACAGGCATGAAGTTTTGGTGTACTCTGATTGGTATCGCAGTGTCAAATTTTTTTTTTGCACTGTGTTTTCTAAAAGTTTTTATTATCACGCGGGAAGTATACTATGGAGTGCATACTAAGCAGTGTCCAAATGACAGACTACACCAGCACAGCTGCAACGGGAGAAATGGGCTTTCGCCAGGAAGGTTCCTAGCAGTGAATTGCAAAGGTGCTCCTAAACTGTATAGCTGTGTCACTATCTGCAAGTTTAACATTCAGCTCACACATGAAATGAAACAAGCAGTAGCTATAGCAGCTGGTGGGTGAGCTCTCCATCAATTTCTGTGTCGGAAAGGAAATCACTTTTCTTGGAGCATGTGCACAATGAGTTTTCATGCATGTTTAAGGTGGGTGGGAAGAATACAGAATACAAGTTTACCATCTCCCTTTCTTTACGCCTGTGTCGTGTTTCCTTATTATATATACATGCTGCACTGATGGCTACTGCTGGTCCTGATGACAAAACTGCTGTTACAATTTCTTTCACTGGTGTCAGGAAGTACATTGCTATTCGATCTGGCAGTTGACGAATGATTTGTTGAAGGCATTAGTTGAACTATGAATGCATTGAACACTGTGACAATTAAATAAATCACTTCATGGGTAGTAGGATTAGACTTTCTCATAATTGAGGCGAGTTATAATAAACATTATGAAAAAGTCAAATATTTGCTATTTTGCAATACGATGCCAGAGGAGTTATACCAGTCGAAGTTTTGGTGTTAGTGAAATACAGTAGTATAGAACCATGATTGGAAGTTACAAAATGATCAGCTCAGTTGTATTGTGTTGCCTCCAACACTTGTACTATGAGGCATTTTTTATGAGGCTGCAAGATAGGAAATGCATATTCAAGTTTGATGCAGATTCAAGTTTAATGAAAGTATTGTATACGATGAGTCTATTAACTGTGGGCAAAGGAAGTGTGAGTGATCGTCTCATGAAACCTGTTGATTTAGAGACGCCTTCACTAAGTGACATGACGTGCTTGGACCAGCTTAGAATACTTGTTAATCCTACGCTGAAAGCATCATGATATATTCCACTTGTGATTGCGTTTAATGGTTTAGTGTGTATGGGAAGTGTAGGTGAAATTGTTTGCAGGACATGGGCATAAACTTACATTTTGATACATTTAACTGCACCAGGGAGGTCGAGCACAAATTTCGGATTAAGGTTAAATAAACCTGCGACAGTGTGTGATCATTAATAGAAAAGATGCGGCAGCAGAGAATGGAGGAAGTTCACACATTAAAGTTGGGAACAGAAGCAGGTAATGAACGGAGCTTTGTGGGACTCCTGAGATAATGTTAATACCAGCAGCCTTGATGATAGTATGTACTG